CCTCTTCAGACGTGGAGCGAGCCTTCAGCAAACACCTGCCTGCCCTTCCGCTGCTGGCGCTGAGGGTGTTTTAAATGAATGCCTTCTTTTTTTGTTTTTTTCCCTTTTCTCCTTCCCCCTAGGGGGAGAGATATCGGAGGTTGTTTTACCGACTCTTGCTTCGGTTGCAACACTTCCTTCCTTGCTCGCCGCCCAGCTCGTATCGCTTCCCTTGCAGGGCATCCGTTAGGCCCAGAGCTCGGCCTAGCCCCGCGGCGAAGACCGAGCGCGGCCGACGGGTCGCAGCACTTCATACAGCGCTGAGTTTCGGAGCTGAGTTTGCCGCGTGGGTCGGGGTCGGTGGCAGCGTTTTGGCTTTTTGGTGGTGCTTCTCCTGTGTCGTTTTGCCGGGAGCTGCCGGTCAAAAGCGCCAATGTTGCCAGACTATGCTAATGCCGTAATGACTGTAAATTAGAAATAAAATGGTAATTATCCACAGACTAATTATGTAAGCTGCTAGGCAAATCACATAATTGCTTGATGAAGACGCACTATAGCCAGTTTCGGAAAAAAACTGATTTGGTGTGCTGTTTAGTGCAATACAGATGGGATAGCAAAATTGTGCCGATCTATTACGTTAATTTTATGTTTGGCTGTCTTGTAGGAAGGAATGCAAGTTTGTTCACAACTTTCACTCGGAGCACAATCTCTATGTGCTAAAACAGTATGGACTTGAGAATTTAAACAGTGATGAACTCCGCCAGCTGCTTCTTCAAAATGACCCTTCGCTCCTACCAGAGGTAAGCAATACTGCAGCAATTTCTTATCTCTGTACTTCTGTGAGCATCACTAAGTGGAAGAGGCTGGATATTAGCTGGAGATACGTACACAGTGTTGACAAACGCTGTGCTGAGAAATGTTCATGGTCATAGGCTGTGAGCTGACAGACTTTGTTTTTGCTTAGTCTCACTTCTGTGAACAGTTTAATTGAACAGAATGAGTGAAGTACAACAGTACTTGCAGAAGAAAACTGTAAGTTTGAACCCTCTTCCCTTCATAGTCTTTGTATGTGGGCATTGGCCTGCGTTACCCTTGCCTCTCCAGTCTTGTTTTCCAGTCAGAGTTTTGCAGATTGTAGTACTGTGAAGGGATAGAGCTCTACCGTGAATTGATAGGCGTTGAGTTTATTGTCACTGGAAGTGGACATATCTTTGTGTTAGGCAATAGAAATGTTTCTTCTGTCCGTGGTTCACTCGGAAATCTTCAAGAAACTACATGCATTGGTTGGCAGCTTTTCAATCTTCTGAAGGCATTCTGGTGTATATATAGTATGGCATGTACTGGTATTTTGTAGATCATTCTCTACCAATATTAGTATTTGATAATTATAATATACATCTTCAGTTGAGAGTAAACCATTTAGATTTTCAAAAGAAAGGACGAATCAGTTCAGGTTGGAACAATCCAGATCTAAAACTTTAAATCTGTATCCTCTCTTCTCTCACTACCAAATTAAGGTCAAAAAATTCACCTTTCCAAAACTAGAAAGGCAGGGAGTTTAGAGTAGTATGCCACAATAGAATCCACTGCCCTGCATTTATGTGATCTAGGATAAAATCCCAGTTGCTTGAGAATGTTTGTAAGATAGTTGTTTCTTGTCTGATGAAATATCTTTCTAAACGTCAGTGGGGAAAAGGAAAAACCTATCAAGTAATCATTTGGAAAAGAAGAAACATGCACAAGTCTTTTAAATGCAAATGTGAAATTGCAACTGTAAAAATGTAAAATCTCTTAAATTAAAGCAGTCTATTTTGAGTACATTATACTTCAATCTTTAAATTCTTTTTTTTTCCCTACCAAGGTCTGCTTGCATTATAACAAAGGTGATGGACCTTATGGATCTTGTACCTATAAAAAGATCTGCACCAAACTGCATATTTGCCAGTACTTCTTGCAGGGACAATGCAGATTTGGCAGCAGCTGCAAGCGATCCCATGACTTCTTAAATTCGGAATGTTATGAGAAACTGGAGAGACAGGGAATGAGCTCAGACGTTATTGAGAAACTACCCTCCACTTACAGGAACATGTATGACATAAAAAATGGCACCACGAACGTGTACGACACAAAAGATGGCAAGTCTTCACCATGCAAAGGTAAATCGCATCATCTTTTGAAAACATCAGAGGAGGAGTTAGGATAGTGAACTTAACATTTAGACACGTTTATGTTAACTGTGGCATTAACACGGCTGTCAAAACAAAAAAGAAAACTGAACTTGCTACCTTGCACCCAAGTCATTGACAGAGGTTGTGTCTCAAAAACTCAGGTGAAATCAATTCCAAGGCATTATGGGTGCCTGAGGAGTAAAGTGCTTGGTGTTTATAAAAATCTTAAAGCTTGGGTTAGAAGAGCATAACAGGACCAGAAAATAGAGACTTCATGTTTTCACCAAGAAAAATCACAGAAGAGGAGTAGAGAACTGTTTAAGAACAGAGGTGGCGTTTATTTGTGTGTTTGTAAACTACTCCTTTCTCCCTTTTATTTTTTTAATCTAGCTGTTGTCTAGCACAAAAAATCACAGCGAGCAGAATCCTAGTTACTTCTCAAAAATGTATTGCTATTTTGCTCGTTCTTGTCTCTTGAAGTTCCTTATAGTTGTCAGTCAAGTATAATTTAGCAGGGAAAAGGATAAGAGTGGAAAATCCAAGTGTGTGTGTGCGTGTATTTGTCTTTGCTGTTCTCCTAGCAATTCCATCTTACCTTCTGTTTCTGGAAATGCGTTTTGATTTACAGAAATACCAGATTTCGAAACTCTGAATTTTATAGATGTCAATATGAGCAGCTATGTGGAATGCACAGATAATTCCAGTCTGTCTAGAAATGCAAAGGCATTGGATTCCCTTCTTATTTTGTGGTGATAGCTACAAACTGAATCTGAGGAATTTAGCACTTGTGTGAAAATCATTCAGAAAGGCATAGGACTTATGTGTGTATAAGATTATCAAAGACTTCAGTGTCTTTCCTGAGCTGAACTCAGTTACATAGTTACAAACCCTGTTTCTAGGCCCTAGCCATAGATGCCCATGTAGGAGGGCTTGTTGAAACAATGCGTATTAACAAGGCTTGTAATTCCCCCTCTAGAGAGAAAACGCAGCTCTAGTCAAGAGTCCTTAACTACGAATGATGACAAATTGGAACAGATCTGTTTATATCATCTATACAAAAGTTGTAGCTTTAAAGGTAGGTTGTGATCATAGCAAGTCTACTTTATTTTCCTTTTCTTAGAAAAAGAAAACAATAGATGCTTTTCACAGAAAGTGGAAATTTCAGAGCTTACACTTCTCTTGAGGGCTGCAGAGAAAGTGTTTGACCTACTTGGCTTACTTAACAAAGGAGCTGTTCTGACTTCTTCTAAAAGGTGTGATATTGGCCTGTGTTGGAGATTGTCTGCTCCAGCTGGGTTCACGTAAGGGACTGCTGAACGATAGGATTCCTATTTCCACATGACTAGAGACGACACTGTGAACTCTGCATTGTCCCTTGTTTCTTCTAGCACTCTTCCATTCTATCTGTCTGAGCTCTGTCTCCCTTTAATCATGTTCTGACTGGTCCAGGGAAAATGCTGCTGTGCCAACTTACTTCTTGGGGTGTCCTTTTCTCATCCTTTTCCTTCTTGATGTTCTTGACCTGTAATACCTCTCTGGAGTACTGCGTATCTTGTTGTATGAACTGTGTGGTGCAGCCTTCTTGACTTTTCCTGTTGTGTTGCCTGTTGCTCTCCAGTGAAAACTAGCGTTCTGCCTATTTGTGCTGATTTGATCTTCACTCCTGTCAGTTCAGGAGCTCTGCACTGCTACTTTGAGTGATTCCTGAGTGACCCCCGCAATACCTGGGCTGCTGTTGGCACTACTGTTGTTACTTTTGAGGCCTGGACCCTTAAGCCTGCTAGCTCATTTGGAGACTTCATTTGCTGTCCTAAAACTGAACCCTGCTTTTTTCAGTAATACCACTTGGGGAGCTAAATGATTAAGCAAAGAAATTTTACTTGAGTCTACACTATTCCTTTTATGAAATACTAGCCTTGTATGAGCTTGTGATCCTTGATCCATTGCAAATTTTCTGTCTTCTAAATCAAAAATACCAAAAAAAAAAAAAACAGTCCTTCACAACTGTTTTTGTGATAGCAGGACTTGCCATCAGTTTTGATGCACAAAGAGAATCTAGTAGGTAAAGAAACTGAACCTCTCCCTAAGCTCAGAAAATCTAAACTACTGCTTGTAATGATTTCATAGGTGAGCACTTTCCATAACCATGCATTTGATGCTTTTTACCAGCTAGATGTTTATCCCAGAAATGCTGTGGTTTTTTTTTTTCCCCTCATAGACTGAAAAAATAATATCTCTCTTACTTTCTCCTACTTTTATAGACAAGTGTATCAGAGTTCATTTTCACTTGCCATACAGATGGCAGATCTCTGATGGTAATACCTGGAAAGACTTGAAGAATATGGAAGAAATAGAAGAAGCATATTGTGATCCCAGCAAAACCAGGTATAAACTATTATAAGTCTTAATAATGTTCGGAGTTTGCCCTCTGGACATGCAATATTGGGCCAGGCTCTTGGCTGCTGTAAATTACTGTGCCTCTATTTCAGTCATTACGTATGTAGCTTCATTTGATATTCCTTGACCTCGCTTTGCTTATCTACTCTTGCTGTGGGTCTGATCCTCTGTGATTTATTTGTACCTGGGGTCCATATTGGACCCTCTGGATTACGTTATGGGGCTGATCTGTTCACTCCTAATGTTGCTCTGAAAAACAGTGCAAATAATTCCTTCTGCTGCTACCATAGAAAATCTGAATCCTCACTAAGGATGACTGGAAAATTTCAGATGGATGATGATTTTTATCACAGGTACTTGTGAGAATCTGTCTTTGGTTAGAACTGTACACAATTTGTCCCCATCATTAGAAGTCCCCTTCTCCTTCACCTTTGATATGGAGGATGTTAAGGTAGCATGGGATTTTTTTTTTTTTTCCCCCTCTATTCTCCCCTTCCAATTCATGCTGCAGAACTGATAGAATACCTTATGTACCTGAAGAGAGAGAACTTTTGGGTGCAGAGAACCATTGAGAAGATGGGAATACCTTTAAGGGGTCTGGAACTGGTCGTGTAGCACAGACTGTATTGGAGGGGACTTGTACCTCCAATATGCTGTGTCTCATGCCAGAGAATTTCCCCAGTCCTCTTCTACCAGTTGGAATGTGAGGGTGGTTGAGGTGTCTGGCATCAGCGATTGACAGGCTGAAAGGCAGACAGAAGTGCTATTCTTAAAAGTAACAAGAGGTTTTTAAAAGCTACAAAGCTTTTGGGATAGTTCTTTTTAAGAATTTGTTCAACTCATTGTGTTTCCATTAGTTGTGTATGTGCAGCAAGCACTAAAAACTGCAAAACCAAAATGAGGCAGGTTTTGCACCATTTTAATTTATGTTATGTTAGAAGCTGTTAAGCATGCTTAAGTTACAACAGTGCTCTGTTCAGGATATAGTTAGTTAATGAAAAGAAGTGTGTGTAAATTTTCTACTATCTCTGTTAAAATTTATGGAATTAGGTAAGATTAAGTTGATACTAATTACTGCACATGGAACCAAAGTGAGACATAATAATGTAAGACAAAATACGTACAAATAGAAGGGACTCAGAACTGGGATGGTTGTGAAAAGGTGTGGGTTTTTTGGTTTTGTTTGTTTTGGTTGTTTTTTGTTTTGTTTTACAGATTTAGCAGTGGTGTTGTTGAAAGTGGCTCTGTCTTGCCCTGCATTTGTTTTCGGAATATGTGCTGTGGGTTTGCAAAGGTTAGACGTCTTTCTACAGCCTCCTCTGTGACCAAACCTCCTCACTTCATTCTAACAACAGAATGGATGTGGTACTGGAAAGATGAATATGGTCTGTGGCGGGAGTATGGAAAAAAGGTAAGCATGGAGAAATGAGAAGTCCCTCAACTCAGTGTGTTATAACTGCAGAATCTTCTAAAAACTGCACAGTACTTGTTTATATGCTCCCCTCCTTTGTCACCTCCTCCCTCCCATACATACTGTACAGATGAACTTTAGAGGCTTAATGAGATTTTTTTTTTTTCCCTGTGAATTTTACTGGCTCAGATAGGAGAGTTCTCACTGGTGAGTCACGATCATTACTGACAGTTCTTCAGTGAGTCATGTCAAACAGGATCACATGAATACTTTGTTTTCTCTTTCCTGCTCCTAACTAAAACTTCCTTTCTGAGGTTCTCATAGCACGTTCACCAACTAGACCTTAGCAGAAAAGGCACAGAGTACATGTTCTGTAATGCTGTGTTCACTGCATGGACTTTGCAGCATAAGTTTAGGCTTCATAAAACTCCTTGCTTTGTCTTAGGGACAGTTTCCCCAGTTCTCATCCACTCAATAGATGGCCTTTGTATCAGAGCCGCTGTCGCACACAAAGGCTGATACAGACTACAGTTACAAATAGTTGTTAGTTTCTAAATTTGCTGGTATATAACAGACCAGGAAAGTCTCTCTTTTCTGGCTTTGGCCTGACAGGATGACGATCATGCAGCTGCCACTGTCTCCAGTGATGATTTGGAGAAAGCTTATATAGCCAAAGGTTCTCCAAAGCTGAACTTTAAAGCTGGAAAACATGAATATGAACTCAATTTTGGAGGTATGTTGCATTTGCTTTGTTTTTTCGTTTTGTTTCTCTCCCTTTCCATACTCCCTCCCCCCACCCAGGGCCCAGTCAGTCTTTGGTAGTTTTAAACTGTATTACTACAGGAGATGCAAGAGAAAAATTGAACTGTGGTCTGAGGTGCTTACAGAGATAGAGTTCCTGTCAAAGTTCACAGGGTAAGAGCTGTTCACCCAAGGAAGGTGGCATACCTATTCCTCCAAAGCTTTCAGCTTCTAAAAGACTTGGCAAGCCAGCTACTGCTCTGATTTAATCACTAGCTAGCAGGAAAATGAATTTTTAGGCAAACTGTGGGGTCTGGACAATCAAGATCATACATTGAATCATGTTGCAAGATTTCTATAGCTATTTTCTTTGCATAGCTCTGCCTACCTGGAAAGACTGAGGAAATACCTTCATATTTTGACACAGTCAAGGTGTCGTTCCCTAGAGTTTAGGATGTTTAAACCATTCATTAAGGGTGTGTAACTGTCCTCTCTAGCACTGCTGCCTTTTCAGGTATCCTCTTTGGAGATCATGAGTGACGGTGACTAGGAATCAACCTACCTAGGTTGTCATTTCAGTGTAGCCCAACTCTCTATTACTGTCTCATTCTACATAGAAAATCTGAGTATAAAGGGCATGTGATATGTTGTTTATAATTCAATTGAAAGCAATGCTGGAACCTTCTCTACAGGCTGGGGAAACTTATTGGGCTTAGAAGAGAAAATTACGTCGTAAATGAATCTTTTTAGGCAAAAATACACAAGGTAGACTTCTTCCAAAACTCACTCTCTAGGCTTGGTGATACCAAGAGCTCTGCTCCTGTGTATTTATCTCTGAAGATTAGGCCTCATTTTACTAGCTGCTACTGACTCAATTGTTAGTATGAGGTGGCAATAGCTACAGAGGATCCATGATCCACAGCATGATGCCTTTAAAATTGAGGTTGCTATAATATGTTTTGGTTGCCGGTCAATAAAAATGAATGTCCTGTGATGGCTCTTAGGTTGTGTTTATAGGGCTTGCAGTCTACAGATAAATGCAAGAAGACCCTAACTTGATAATGCACACTGAGAAACGGGTGCAATCTGTGGAGCCAAAGTAGACATTTATTTTACAGTTCTTGGTTGAGGGTGGCTCATGGAACAATGAAGGGACAATTTCCATAGCTACCAGCATCCGTTATTCTTTATGAAGTTAAGCATAAAATTGAAACTGGAATCCTCAGGGATCCACACTGAGGACTCTGGGTTCCACATCCTGCTCAGATGGATGCAGCTCAGGCTTCCCTGTGTGTAGCAAGAGGAAACGGCTGGTGCCCTTTTTCCAGCAGTTTTGGCAAAACAACCTACTGGCAAATTTCCCTGCAGTGTGAAAGCTTTCTAAAACATCTTGCTAACTGACCTCTGTTTTTTCTTTCTATCCACCCCACCCCCTAGCCATGATTCAAAAAAACCTTCGATACAAAACAGAGAGAGAGGTTTGCAGAAGACCTAAATTTGTCTCCCAGTCAGAGGTGGAAAAGGCAAGAAAGAGGTAAATTGCAGCTGTGCGTTTTGTGGTGATGGAGCTAATGCATTGTGAATGCATGGACTCAGTGTCTTGCAAAAAGGATGTTACTAAGGTGAAAACGCGTTAAGACAATTAGAAAAGAAATTGAGAGGGGAGAGGATGTGCCTTTCCTGCAACAATGTCTAGTCAAAGCAGTGCTGCAGAATGGCAAACAGTCCTGAAGTAGTTTAGGAGCATGGAGGGTGAAGGAAGCTTGGGCTTAAGCTACAGAAAGTTTGGAAGCATGGAAGATAATTTAACATATCACAGAATCACAGAATGGTTTAGGTTGGAAGGGACCTCTGGAGATCATCTAGTCCAACCTCCCTGCTCAAGCAGGGCCCTCTAGAGCATATTTCCCAGGATCACATCCAGACGGGTTTTGAATATCTCCAGGGAAGGAGACTCCACCACCTCTCTGGGCAACCTGTTCCAATGCTCAGTCACCCTCACAGTGAAGAAGTTTTTTCTCAGCTTCAGATGGAACTTCCTGTGGTTCAGTTTCTGCCCGTTGCCTCTTGTCCTGTTGCTGGGCACCACGGAGAAGAGGCTGGCCTCATCCTCTTGACACTCCCCCTTCAGATACTTGTACACGTTGATGAGATCCCCTCTCAATCTTCTCTTCTCCAGGCTGAACAGGCCCAGCTCTTGCAGTCTTTCTTCCTAGGAGAGGGGCTCCAGCCCTCTAATCATCTTGGTAGCCCTGTAGCATTGTAACATGTAGCATTGTTACAAGGAGCTGCTATATGTTACTAGAGCAACTGATACAGATGGAAGCAGTAGCATTTTTACCCCTTTTTACATCTGAGAGTAATAATTTTTCAAAGTACAAATTTAGAAACAATTGTTTTGAGAATGACTAGACAATCTGGGAGGAGAGAAGTAGTTGCTATAGGAGCAGCAAAAGGTGAATGTCTTTAAGGGGAAAAGTTTTATAATAAATTGCACGTAACAGCCAACTTTTTTATGCATTCTCTTGCAGCACATAATGTTTAAACAACACAGAAAATAGCAACTAAAAGCAATGACTACAATTAGGGTGGAAGTAGGGAGGAAGGATGTCTCTGTCCTGTTTCTGACATACTCCTACAATAGTGATGCATTTCTATATACTTAGTCCAACTGTAGCAGGGCTTTTATGTAGACATTTGACTTTCTGCTAAAGTCAAGAGAACTAATTTCATGATTAATTTCAGTGTATAACTAAATTTTTTGCTCATGTGGTATCTCACTTCTTGCCATAAGTCTTGACCTAATGATTTTGAACAAATATTTTCATGTACTGAACTGAAGGACAACTTTGAGATGTTTCTGAATACATCCAGTAGTCTGTAGTCTCCCTAAACTTAGCAAAAATGTTTTCCATTGTATTTACATAAAATTTAAGGATTGCGGTTTTGCTTTGTTTAAATTACCTATTTGTAATGTCTTGTAATGCACAGGGGCTTCAAACTTTCAGAAGAAGAAAGTACCAGCATGCCAGCTCACTGGGACAAATCTGCCCTGCCTGAGCTGGGATTCAAGGTTTGGTGCTTTTTGGTTTTGTTTTGTTTTTTTGTTTTTTGTTTTCTCTCTATCTCTTCTCATGTGTAATTTCTTTGCATCACAGGTTCAGTGATTTTTGTGCCTTTGTAGGTGACCGTTTCTTATGTAACATAATGCAGAGATACTGGTGAATTTGAGCCTGACACCACACTTGGCAAATCTAGACGTGAAACTGCAACCAAATTTAAACAAATGATGGCATTGTAACCTTGGCGGCATTGGCTTTCACTGCTAGGTGTTTATCCCAGTCCTTGACAGACTTAGCTGTAGCTTATGCTGTATTTGCAGGACTGCTACTGGCACCCAAGATGCCTAGCTTTAAAGTACAACCTCTTCTGAAGCATCAGAGAGAAATCATGCCTCTTAAATTGCAGGGTAGTCAGTCCCTGAGCTATGTGTAAGCAAACTCTAATATGTCTGTGGAGCATTGCTGAAATCGGCAGAGTTCTGGTTGGGATCAGGATGTTAGCAGTAACTCCAGAGGCGTGAGCTTGGCTTGTTTACCTGAGTAATACACACCCAGCTATATCTGCATGGTTTAACTTTGCTGGCCTGCCTCAACTAACGTTGCTATCGATTGTAGTTACTCTGCCTGCAGAAGAGATGTTCTTGTATGAAGCTTGAAAATAACTAACCTGAAAAACTTAGAGTGTAAGTTCTCAAGAAATTCTCAATAAAAAAATCGGGAAGGATAATGTTGACGTTCTTTGTGCTTCTAGGGGAAGCATGCAACTAGAAAACTTTGCTTGCTTTCAGGACTGTCTTGTAAGGAATTATCTTCTGCAGTATGTCCCTGCCCTTCCCTAAAATGGTTGGTTTGATCAAATAAATCTCAGCTTATTTCAAAACATGTCAGGCAGTGCAGTTCAAATGTTTGCTGGCCGTAGGGAGCATGAACTATAAAGATTTTAAGAGCTTGGGTAAAGAGGTACTCTTTGATTTGCTGGAACATAAATTCTTCTTCTTCTTTTTTTTTTTTTAACTGATTTTTGTCTATGTATTTAGATACTGTTCCAGAGATGCATGCAAATGCATCTTTTTTTTTTTTTTTTCCCCCCAGTAAAAATTAGAAGAAGCTGGCTGTGCAAAACCATCCAGCTCCTTTAATATCTTGTGGAAGAGCAACCTGGGTGCCTTAGCTACCAGGAGTTATGTTCCCTAGCTAAGAGCTAACACTCAAGAGAGTGGGGACCTGTAATCTGCTCCTTTCCGAGAGTATTTTTCCTGCTTATATCTCTGCTTGACAGAAAAAATTGCGAAGGTCTGAATAGTATGCAAGATAGGGTGGTTTTGTTATGACTGGGTAAAAGATGAGTGGCTTTTTTATCTTCTCCCTTACAGCTGATTGAGCTTGATAGTTCTTCTGATGAATACAAGAAAGTCCAGGTAGACTTTCAGCGCACAATGCCCAAAACAGTCATTCAAAGGATTTGCAGAGTTCAGAACCCATCTCTCTGGGAATTGTATCAGTGGTACGTATAAAATCCTGCTCTGGTATGCGTTCATGAACTTTGTTTCCACAATTATCTGTATGCTAAACATAGTCACACAGATTCCTGAAATGCAGCTGTATTTCAGAATCTGCTTCCTCTCCGCCTCTGAAATACCTAGCCAGGATCAACACATGGGTAAAGAGGTACTGGCTAAAACAGCACTCAGTCCTAAGACAGAAAGCTTAGAATATCAGGCAAGCTCTGTGGGAGAAATCCTTGCTCCTTAGCAAATGGCTCTGACCTCTGTCAGGCTTGTGTCCAGGACAGCTGCCTTTCACTGAAGCCATGAAGCTGGGAATCGGTCACATCTGGCACAAACGCTGGCAGTAGCTGGTCAAAAATGAACAGCCCTCAAAACTAACTGAAAGAAAATCTCAGTATGAATTCCTGTGTTTAAAGAAAAATTAATAGTAAGCTTTTGCTCCCCTGCCCCCAGGCAGTGAAGGGAACAAAACATTTTTACTATTAAATAGCTGGAGACATTTGTATATAATGAAAGCATGTACAGGCCTACCTGGACAGCAAGGTGCCCTGTATGCACAAAGTTTAGGCCTTAATGAAAGAATTTCTAGAACGTACTCTTTGGGTAAAACTGCCTCTGAGTGCTAGTGGTATCACTGGAACTTTTCTGGATACAGCCACTGTGGAACTACAGTGATAGTTCTTTTCACTGCAGGCAAAAGGAGCAAATGCAGAAGATCAATGGTGGAAAAGCTGTAGATGAGAGATTTTTATTTCATGGGACCAGTAAAAAACACATTGAAGCCATCTGCCAGCAGAACTTTGACTGGAGGATCTGTGGCCTTCACGGGACAGTCTATGGCAAAGGTTGTTTTTGCAGCTCTTTCATTAACCTTAGACTTACTAAAAATTCTCACTAGCTACTGCAGAGGTATAAAGCTGGAAAGAAGGCATGCAGTCATGGGGTTTATCTGTACAATGATTTGGACAGCATATCTGCCTTTGGCAGTGTTCATTTGGAGCTAGGGCATACTTATGGCCTTGGCCTCTGTGCTCCGTTCCTTGCAAGAAAAGACAAGCTTATGAGAGGCCAATTCTAGGGAGCGTTTCTCCTAGAATCCAGACATAGTTCTGTTCCAGTTTCTCCCAGCTCCCATAGAAGGCAATGATGGCATTGTTTTATTTTTTTTGATACCCTGTTTAAAGTTTTTTTTTTTTTTGGTCTTGTTAGTAAAGTACATTCCTTCTACTTCCCTATGTACAGGAAAGGATGAACATACCGAATAGAATAGACATGAGACTGACTGATTGACTCTCCACCCATCCAACTGAATACCTTGTAACTCGCTGAAGCGTCCTAATGGACATTAGTAGCCTCTCTCAGGAGAGGAAGTTGGGTGATACTGAGGTGGGTGGAAGCCTGGGGTCAGGAGGTAATCTTTCGGTTATCAGGAGGCTATCAAATGATAACATTTGAAACATTACCTTTATGGCTTTTTAACCTGGGTACTGTGAAAAATGAAAGTGCAGTAATACCTAATGGTAATCTTCACCAAGAAGGATGTACAGCACAACTGAAGGTTATGTAAAGACTGTTCATGAATTGCTTTATGGCTCTTGGTAATGAATTTGATTTTTCCACTGTATCCCTTCCTTGCCTACAATATAGGCTCTTTGTCAACTTTGTCATGATGTCTCCTCTACAGGAAGCTATTTTGCAAGAGATGCATCTTATTCTGATAACTACTGCAGGGAAGACTCGCACATCAAGACCATGTTTCTGGCACGGGTGTTGGTAGGAGAGTTCACTCTTGGTAGATCTTCTTATGTTCGTCCTCCGTTGAAGGACAACCAGAACAGCTTCTACGACAGTTGTGTGAATAGCCCTTCAAACCCTTCAATTTTTGTCATTTTTGAGAAGCAGCAGATTTATCCAGAGTACCTCATAGAATACGTTGACAAGGCATTGGCAAAAATGCTATGGCAGCACAAGCAGTCATTACATTTATCTAGTAAAATTTTTTTTTAGTGTTGGCTTAACTGAAAAGAGTGAGTTTTAGAAGAAGCATGCTAGGTAGATGAGTGGATGTTCAGACACTTATTCTCTAGCCTTTCTGTGCAATAGTAAACTGGGGGTAAAAAGACACAAAAGGTGTTTTTAGACTTCTTAAAATGCTGTGTCTGTCTTATTCTTTAGGAGAGATAATGTTTCCCCATGCTACTGGAGCTCTGAGGCTTTTATATATTTACTAGATTACTTTGTTGATATTGTAACATGAAGATTCACTATGACTGCTAAGATTGTCTTTTTAGTATAAAGTTATAATTGTTTCAGGATGGATCTTAACATTTAATGATCGTTCAGAGGCTGTCACCTTCTACATATTTATATTTTAACTCAAAATTTCATAAAAACCTTTTTTAATAATTGGTGTCTACAGTAACTGTAGACAATACAGGCAATTGCAAATGAGACTGTACAATCTCTTTCTCTGTACTTAACTCATTGCATAGATTCTTAGCAACACTGTGATCTGTCTTTACTTATTTTTCAGCAACAGAGCCTCAAAAAATTAAACCTTATTTGTTGAAAAGGACCAGAGACTTACTTTCACTTGTTCATTTTCTCTTTTAAAATGAGTTCTGAAGCCATGAAAGCAGAGCAAGGATTGCTTTGTGCTGTTGTGTTCAAACAGTAGATTTACTCAACCATGTAAATGCTCTACTTTACTTTAGGTCTGTGAAAACACAAGTTTTTTTTGTGACTTTCACTGTGCCTACAAACAAGCGTAGTGTGCTTTTTGGGGGCTGGTGGTGAGAAGAAGAGGCAAGTCACTCTGTCATTTAAAGAACATCGTGCTTAACAGTGAAAAGTAGTGCTTGCACTTCTTGATTAGCAATGACCTATTTCCAGGCAGTAACATTATTGTTCTCATAGAGTGAATGTTTGTCTTAATGTCATTAGATGTACTGCCAGTACCCCTTTGGTTGCAGGAGACACATTGGTTACCTGTGTAATCAAGGTGTCTTGGGACTTCCTTGCAGAGAAAAACTGTTTAACTGGGAATGCATCCCTGCATTTATCACTGCTTTAACACTTACCACAAAAGTGGTAAGATATAAGGTAAGAATACTCTGTGTAGGCCAAAAAGCTCATTTCCACCGTGTTCTAAAAGCACATATTTTTAACTCACCTGAATGCTAACTGACTGACAGGTCTACGCTAACTAACTTTTTATTGCATCAGCACTGTGAACCATGAGCTTAGCCACGAGTAGCTGAAAGGCTGAACAATTTTTCTTTTCTTTTTTTCTTTTCTTTTTTTTAAAACAAACTGTAAAAGTAGCAGCATAATACCTAAATTAAATACTCCTATTCATGTTTATACCTAGTAAAGCACAGCACATACATAGAATATAGTCAACTTACTTTTCCTGTTCTTGAAAGATTAATTGTAGTAGAACACTCCCAATAAATCTCATGTCAGCAAACTATTTTAATATATTCGTAGAAAAGGACAACATTACGTGTAAAAGGCTGAACTACTACAGAGTAAGAATTTCTGTTTTGGCAGAAACTCTACATGTTTATCTGTATGTTATGGGAAATGAGAATTCTGATAGCATACCTTTATTTCTTTGAACATACCAACCCTTGAGCTAAAAACTGAATTAAAGTCAGTTTAATACTTCTTATTACAGTTTTTTGCTACGTTATCATATTTTCTGCTTTTGAAACTGGAGTGGCATCTTTCTTTTGTGTGGCAAATAAACAGGTGTTTAAAGTACTAATATTTCTAATATTTTTGTAACTTTTTCCCCTCATCTCTAAATATGAAAAGGACCCTAGTACACTACATTTCTGAGTCCTTGGAAACTTTCTTTGAGGTGCTGTTATTAAATAGTGGAACTCATATACAGCTGTTTGGATTACATTCAGAAATAAACAGATTAAAGGGCTGTTTGTATTGAGCCTAAACTTTAGATTAAAATTTGATATTGAGCCCTTTTTTTTTCTCCCCCCCCCCCTTAGTGATAAGGATACCTCTTGACTATTTAAGACAAAAGAAACTCAGCATGAGCAGCGTAATAATATCTTTCTCTTTTCTATACCATGTGGGGGGGGGGGGGGATGATAAGCTTTGAATCTTATGCTTCCTTTTTTAATAACCAGTCCATCTCTGTTGAGACAGAGGACAAGCCAAGCACATGAGCTATGCCAGTAGTGCATCCTGGAGCACAGTAGTTTTTGACTACTTAATGGCATTTACCTGTAATCAGGCTTGTCCTATTCTGCCTAGGTTTTTATAAGCTGTGGTTGTCAGAGTCCTACCTATAAGTAAGTGGATAGTAGCAAACAAGTGTCAGTACATTGCCTAGTTCTGATACCATCAGCCTGGAAGAAGTAGGGAGGCGGTGGGGAAGAGGAACTTAGGTGGGTCACACATACCAGCTACATAGTGTGCTCAGTGCTCTTTGGCTTGGAAAGGACTTATACCCACGTTTGCTTGTTCAAAATCATTGCTTAGAGCTGCCTTTGAGCTGAAGGAGAGGTGAGAGTTACAGACATGCTGCTTACTTGGATTTCTTCTTTGAGAACAAAATCCAGGAGGGATGACAGGTAAAGGACCAGGCATTATAGCTGCTTACCCATTCTACCAGTGGACAGGCTCCACAGGCCATGTTCAGCTGGCTCCTAATGGCTCCCTTGCATGCACTTACTGTTTCAGGCCTGGTTACAGATCCATCTCCACTTGCAAAGACTATCATCAATCGAGGAAATCCTGCTACCTCCCTCAACACAGCCATAGCACTCAGCAGTGCAGGGAGCAAACCTCTCGGAGACTGATCAACATTTACAAACTGAAGAATGAGAGCAGGGCCAATGTGAAGGAAGCAGTGAAATAATGAGCTTGTAAGTCAGCTTTAGATCCTTTTAGTGTATTTACTACTATAAGTGCACAGAAGAGTCTGATATTAGTCAAAGCTATGTCTAAGGCTGAAATATCCTTTAACAAAGGGAAAGGATAAGTAAGTCGGTCATTTCATAAAATATCATATACAGAGGAAATTCTGCAGTTTAATGCCAGGTAAGAATAGATCAAATTTGCCACCAAGCATAGTAATTTCTAACACTCAACTCCATTTTCTCAGGAATACTATTTATAAAGTACAAAACTGTAAAGGTTTTCTATCTCAGCAGTCTCATTAAAAATACCATTTTATACTGACAGCTTTCAGTAATCATTGCAAATTCCCAGAAGATGTTTTTAATAGAAGCTTTCCTTTATCAAACAGCCTTCATATCATCTGTCAGAGAATGACTAGGACCCCTTTGTAAAACAGATATGTCTAATCTTAAAACAAACCCACAGCTCAGCAATGCAAGACAACACACTTACTTACTGTTTCTGGGGAGAGAAATTATTTTAAACCAGCTTCCTTGTTCCTCCCTGGAATCAGCTGCTATTCTTTAAATCAGGCATGCGGTACCTGAAATGCTACTGGTACTCAAGGATATAACATTATGGTTTTGTGTTACTGTTTATTCCAGTGAAGTCAATACAGCATTTAAAATAACAGTGCTCTGTTCGGTCATGGAAATGTGAGTTGTTCAACTGCTCTACACGTTAGTGGCATTGTCTTGGATAAATATGAGGATACAAAGAGCATTCAGATAAGCTGTAGAATAGCTCATACAAAAGTATTTGAAAGAAGGACACAAGTTGTGTTTTTTTTTTTTTTTTTTAAATTGAAGTATTTGTTCACAGAGACCTGCTAATTCAAATAAGGAAGTACTGCAGTAAAAAATTTTGAGGGGACAAACAAGCCTTTGACAGCTGACTTCATACCGTGAAGTGAAAGAAAAGAATAAGCAACTAATGCTACCTGCTTATATCGGGTAGGTGGGAAGTGTTCAGGCAAGGACCATCCAACTTTACTGTGGTGTATGTACAAGCAGTATAGTAAATCAGCTGTCAGTACAGTATTTTCAAGAGGGGAAAATGATGGAGAATGTGTGTGCAGAAATTAGGATATATACAGTATGTTGCTTTTCACATAACAATCATTCCATCTGTAATTCATGTAAGTAAGTGGTGTGTCTGTAATAGGGCACTTCTGTTTAGCATTTCAAAGATGCTCAGTGGAAGCAGGAACAGTTCCATGACTGCCAGGTTAGTACTTCACTACTACTACTACCTGTACCGTTCTGGTTTAAAAAAAAAAGATCCCGTGAAAGTAAAAACCAAAATCTTCCAGAAGCAAGACAGTGATTTGGTCAGTGTTAAGGCGGTGTGTGGGAAGAAGGCAGCAAAAGGTGCTTGCTAGAGAGAAACTACAGCCAGGCATCAGTGACCAGATGGCTCCTTCCAGATCTCCTTGCAATGAAGCTGATCAGTCCATATCTTTCCACGGATGCAGGTCTCTGTGCGTACCACCAAGAGAGATGCGGTATCTAAGGAAACCTCTAGCAGAGCATGTCACCAGGCCGAAGTTCAGCACTCACAAAGAACAGAAAGGCACTTCCTTATGCTTATGTTTCCAGAAGAATTTTTGCTTTTTATAAAAACTAAAGAAACTGAGACCATCGCTTCTTGTGGTTCTGTTTTACAGCCGACCAGTTTGCAGTGCCTGCTAAAGGAAGATTTTTTTCACGTCACTGTGTGACGTGCCACTGTTGAGCAGTGATTGAAGGCCTTCACAGAGGAGTAGGGAGGAACATGGAGACTGTGATGAGTAAAAAATGTACTGCTGCTTTGGCTGTGAAGGTGCAGGCAGACAATCATACAGCCTGAATGGATCCACCTCGCTGCTGCAGCTGACAATTGAGCAAGCTCCTTCCCCACTGGGTTGAGGAAGCATGCGTCTGTGATATGCCCTGCTCCAGTGTCACTTAAGGAATCAACAAAGCTGCTGGGATCGATGCTCCTAGCTCCCACGCGCTCATCAGTGCCATTAATGCATGCAGCCCTCTTAATTTCCTCGAGCCAATACACCAGGCAAGGATGGTGCCAGCTGCAATGCTTGGAAAGGAAACGCCTCAAAGCACAGAAGAAGATTTTGTAGCAACATCTTCTGATCACCTTTACATTTCTCCCAGTCCTCCTGCTCCCTTTCAATTCCTATCATCTTCTTTTCCTTTTCAACAGCAGTTCAGTAACAAGCAAAATAGCTGCCACCCCATTTCTTTGGTCTGGGTTACTGGTAAACAGGGGAATGCATTGTTCTTCTTCAGTCATGTCAATGTAACAAGACAAGTGCAAATTGTTAATCTAGGCGTATTTCAAGGCACTTCAAAAGCATGAGGAAGTGCAGCTCTCTCCAGTTCAAAGACATAGGGAGAGAGGGACACTCAGCTTTAATTTTTAGCAGAGTTCAGGAATGAAACCCAGTGCCCTGGATTCCAGGTCTTCTGCTCTAACTGCAGTGCCTCTTGGACTTTTGTCTAGAGGAGGGATTATAGGTGCATCAGCAGGATGTGTCAGACAATGAATTGTAATTAAAACCGATCATAATTCTACTGTACAAGTAACACCTGCTCCATTCATTGAACTGGAGCTTGCAGAAAGCATTCTCAAAGACGAGTGCAAGGAAGTGTGATCTAGAAAACTAGGTGAAAAGTGGGATACTCCTTTGCAGATATCATTCACAGCAATTCAAAAACCACCAAAAGACTTCGAAGCCCACATCCCATTTACAACAGTGACTTGAGGCCCTGCAGTCCCACAGGAGGTCAGTGAGACAGCACCTACTGACTGTCAATGGGACATAGGCTCCTACCTGTCTTTGGGGTTTTGGAAAACATTACACCCAGTGAGTCACTGACAGAAGGCTCTCCTCCTGGGAAGTTTCAGAAAGCACATTTTCTTTTAGCGAGATTCTAGCTGAATGTAGACGCCATTTTTTGGTCCAAGGGTAGCTTTTGATTTCAGCTGCAAAGGAATCTGAAAGGGGAAAAAAAAAAAAAAGTAACATCTTATGTACAGTTGTATGTACTAGTTTATGTGTGTGTAACAGCCCCCCCCTCCCCCCCCGAACAGACAGACATTTTTGCTGGGGGACCAATTCATACAAGGCTTATTGTGGAAGCTGTAAAGTACTCATTTTACAGTCAGCTATGGTAGTATGGTAGTAAAATGTTAAATGGAATTTACAGCCAGAGGCTGGGGCAGTGGTTGCCCAGGTATATTATAGATCTGAACAGAAAGAAATTAACTCCATAAGCTCTCGAGCTCCTGAGTAAATGGCAGGTGCAATATATATATATATAGAGAGAGAGAGTAATAGGCATATACTGAAGTGCTGAGAACCCAAGAAAAATGCACACCCATTCTCAGCCTGTATGAATCAGTGTATTTTGACTTCAGCATTGCTATGCTGCTCTCTATCAGGCAGGGATCTATAAGAGTTTGTTTTATGGGAAAAATCATAAAGGATAAATCACATTTTGATTAAAACACAGTTCAGGCCTTTTGTCCCTCGCTATTATGGAAGTAGCTCTAGAAGTTTTCTCATATGAGGAGAGATCACAAAGGCAAGTCAGTCATCTTCTCTAGGACAAACTGTCAACTCAGAGAAATGACATGCGTGGCCTTTAAGCCTCTGCATTTACAAACCTCAGTGTGTGGGCAGGTCTTAAATCGAAACTTCTGCAAAATCCTCAGCAGAGTCATTTTTGTCTCCAGCAAACCCATCCTCATGCCAATGCAGCCACGGGGTCCTGCCCCAAAAGGCAGGTACACAAAGGGATGTCGTTCCTTCTTGGCCTCCTCTGTAAACCTAGAAGGTGAAGAGATGGAAAACAGCTCAGGATTCCCCAGAGGAAACACTTTTTCATCTTGATTCTGTGTTTTTTATTTACATCTCAATAGGTGGTGATTTCAGTTGGTCTTAAAGGATCGACCAATGGGACCACTGACAGATTATGTACTGATGGGCTGATGTCCATAAGTCAACTGATAACTTCCTTGTGGGTATCATCCTCTGTCAGCTGGCAATTCCTGCAGAGGACAGACAGATGTTATTATTATTTGTAATCTATCCATCTTTAATGAACTGCCTTCACTCAGTGTCCAAGCTCAGAAGAAGGGTAACTTCATGACACAGACGGAGGCACGCTGGCTACACCTATGCGTGTACTGCGGTGAGATTATGGTTAAAAGGAAACCGACAGATGAGAATGTAAACACACTAGAAATAGCAACAGTGTTTCCCTGCTCTGCATTGCAGGAGCAGATCCACAGGGGGTGGTTTTAGCCTTCCTAATTTTCCTTTGAAACTTGCTAAGGGGGGATGAACTCATCTCATGGGATTGGACTGGCCATGAAAGAAAGTTGTTACAATTCAGTACAGCCCTTCCTTCTGCTCTTGCTCCAAAGAAACCAGCCTCCCAGTTCCGAAATACTGAAATTGCAGATATTCTGTTCTTAGAGCCAAAGGACTTAAGTCCATCTGGCAAGACTGATTACCGTGGCAGTCTGGCTACAGATCTGCATCAACTACCTAGTTCTACAATACTTAATCAACCCATTAGAAAAGAGGCATTTATTTTTGACAAAAGGAGGGAAATGAAATTCCTATTCGAACAGCAGTCCAGTCCAAAGGAAAAAGTAAAATGCGTTTCCCATCCTCTGCAAGGATGGATGTATTCTGCACAGAGTATGCTTGAGTCAGTACAAGTTACTAGGATCAATGCGTAATCAACAAGGTGAGAGACCACTTTGACCGAAGCTATATCACTAATCAGAGTGGTTACTTAAACAAATCCTTGCAGAGGTGGCATTGCCCCGGAAGTCTACACAGACCTCCCACATTAGAAGGTATTTGGAGCTGCTCTGGTAGTACAGAACCATTTTTCAAGTTCTCTAGGAGGCTAAAGGTTCAGGCAGCCAGGTATACTGGCATCCATGGAAAGCTCTCATCCCCTTGCATACAGTTTCAAAGGTCTTTAGACTGCTAAGGCCTGGAGAACTGATGCAGGATTTAAACAGGTGAGAGGTAACACAGACTATTTGGAGGCTTAGAAAAAAATAACATGGTGTCTTTGTGCTAACCCCACCCCCACACTTAGATACCCTGAATAAGATTGGGGATAATACTGTACTAATTACCGTACAAGCCCTTAATTCAAGATGGAGGGCCATAACACATGTATTGAACACTGTTGCATATCCTATGTAAATAGATTAACATGATTCCTTCTTTCCTCACTTCTGTACATCATTTTGGCAAATTTAAAGCCTGCCTCATACTGTTACTGAGGCAGGTGCACCAATGAAATATCAGCAAAAAAAAAAAAAAGGGCTATAGCTGAATTAATTTATTTTTTGTTAAGTTCTTATTTTATAATTCTTACTAAGATTAGCAACAGATACAAGCTGGGGAGAATGTTAGTAATTATGCTTCATTCCTCAGGGAAATTTCAAAAGGGAATTCATCCCAGGTTCATTACATACAGTAGCATAGGAGTCAAGTGCACTGCAGCTCCCACTACCCATTTTACCCCATGCTGCACTTTTTTACCACTCTTAAGGTGGTGAATAAACAATTAAAACAGCTTTTCAAGATAAACTTTGCTAAGAAAGAGACCTCTGGTCATTGCTAAGATTCCTGCCCAACGAAAGCTGGAAGCTCTTCTAACCCTGGCCTTGCTCCTCTCTGTGGCCAAAGTTGCCTGATGCAGCATATGCTGAGATTTGTCCCAGAAGGAATCCACCGGGCAAACCCACCTACGGCAGGTGTTTGCTGTCCCACTAGCAAAGGTGGTTTTAGGCAGCCTGCATCGCACTCGGTCGTTTGTACAGCACACACTTCATTCTTAGTAGATTTTTCAGCACAGCGGTAGCTTGAAATATAGCTGCCCACGAAACAAAATCATGCTTCCCCACAGCACCTCACCAGCTAAAACCCCACGGGCCCTCCCGGTAAGCTACCCTCAGCAGCTGTAACATAGGGCAGGGTACACACAGTTACACAAACAGCCTGACAGCAGCCCAGTGGCTGAAGATAAGAAACGCGCCCTGTTAAATATGCCTTGCCAAGCAGAGCTAAGAAGGCAGGACCCTTGCACTCACAGACAGCGGGAAAACACCCAGGCTGGGTTCCCTGCTCACGGTGTAGCCCAACTGTTCCCCAGCTCCATGTGTAACGGCTGCTCTGAATCAGCCAGGGGCTGGAAGAAACGTCTGGGTGGCTCCATGCCAGTCAATACACCATTTTACTTCAGAACTTCTGGAAGAGACATTATTTGCAGCACCTGCTTTGGAAACATGCGGAAAGCTTGAGCCACGTTTCAACCATTAAGCAGACTTTGCACCCTCTGTAGGACCTGCTGATGTCACCAGTTGTGCAATTCAGTGGAAAGAATACATTTTAGGATCTAAACTAAGCTGTGCTCCTTTTAGGGGGAGTGCTGCTTCAGGTGAATAGTGGGGGGTGGCTGTGCCTGTGAAGGAATAGCAGCATATGGTGTCTCCAATGGCCAGGCTGGACTCCTGGGCCCAGACTGGGCTCCTCCTGAGCAGCCAAGCAGAGAAACAGCATTTAAGGCAAGCTGTTGATCTAAATAGGTCTAAATAAGGACTTCAGCCTAAGAAGGGGAAAGCATGAACCTCACATACCTCTCAGGAAGGAACTTCTCAGGTTCTGGCCAGAAGTCAGGGTTATAGTGGAGATGTCCCACTGCAGTTTCAATGACAGTCCCAGCTGGGATACGCTGCCCCAGCACTACGCAGTCTTTAGCTGCTTCCCGAGTAAACCTGCAACAGTAAGTGTCATATATCTCAGATGATTAATAAAAGTAAAAACACAGCAGGAGAGAAGCCACCGTAACAGTCAATCTCTTCAGCCAGACTGACCCTGCAATTTAGAGGGTAACACTTTCCCAGTAGATAAATACAGCAACCATTGCTGATGCTAGTGTCTTCTCAGGTTACAATCATCTTTCCCTGGAGGCTCTAATCAAGCTGGCTAACTTTGGCCCTTTTCACAGTAACAGCATTTACAGTTGCTTATGGTTTTTCCAAACTTTAACTATTGAACTGAAATTTTGTTGCTAATATCTGTTTCAGATTCTTTTATTTTTTTCTTTGAAAATTGCAGATGAAATGGGCCAGTCATTTTTCAGAACAGGTGAAAGAGTATTCTGTTTTGCCTTCAGGAAAAAACTGCATCAAATATAATTTCCGAGTTTATTTGAGAGGTTCCTCCATTTTGGGAGTGCACACTCGCAACTTCACAAGGGGCAGTTTTAATGCTAGGGCCAAGTCTTTTGCTGTTGCTGCAAAAATACAAACCAAACCACAAGCCTTTGAAAAACTGCAGGTCACGTACACTCATCAGAGACAGGTAAGACAGCAGCAGCAAAACTCTCCAGAGCTTCCTCCTGCCCTGTGGTGGCAGGGGCAGAGCAGGACTTCCCTCAGGAACCTCACTGTGACAACCCCACTGGGAAAAGAGGCCTGTCAAGGCTGAATCTGGGTGTGTAAACCTGGTAAAAACACTGTGAGTGGGCGGGAAGGGGGGGGGGCAAGGCCTCATGGCTTGGGTGGTCCCCGAGGCTGCATGGGAGGCTGATCGGCCATCGCAGCCCAGGAGCTCTTCCCAGGCCAGCTGGGAGCAGAGGGGCAAGACGTGGGGCAGGAGCTCCCGTCCCTGCTCCTCGCGCTGTGCCCAAAAGGTAGAATAAAGATTTCAGTTTAAAGGCTGTCAGCCTGGTGTTATTGCAGCAACACGTTCTTTCCCCACTGTCACTCAGTTTCTCGCTTTCTCTTGACACATTAAAAAGCGCATTGACAAGCCATCCTGCTCATTTTAACACGGATTTAGTGACCGTGGAAACATGAGTGTTGTGGAAGAAAGTTCTTGGGCTAGTAATTCATTGAAAAGAAATCTTTCTCATTTATAACAAGCTTGGCTGCTACTGAATTTTTTCCAGAGTACAGCATTATGCTTGCCACAAGCAATTAGCATCTTTCTGATGCATCGGGCTGTTCTGCCTATTCCATATCCACCCGAGTAAAGCCAGATCAATAAACCCCACCGATAACACCAGTGGAAACTTCAGAACAACTTTCCTCTGTTCTGTTTCTCATCCGACAAACAGTGATTGTTTCCCTGTGTTTCTGCCAAAATTCAAATATCCCTGATGGTTTAACTGGTAAAACAATTTCCACTTGTACACCACACATAACCTAGCAAAGCCCAGTTATCTATCTCATCCATGAACAGGCATGTTTAACATCATTGACTCTCCGCGCAGTCCTACAGAAGTCCTCGCTTGACTTCCAATCTTTGTGAACATATAACAGAGGGTATGATTTTAAGCTGTTTTATGTTAAGGTGTTTGCAATTGGAGGACAAATGTTTCAAAGGCTCTCACAGTAAGATCAACTTCCATTTCTTTCAAATCATGGGAAATTTTCCCATTGGCTTCAGGAAAAGTAGTGGAACTGACTCACCATTTTTAAAAATTCCACTCTTAAAATGTACATTTATGCTTGTGATAACTTGTAGATTTGACAATCAAGCAGTTTTCTAATTCCTTTCCTCCTTGTTTTCAATACATTGATATATTGATCTTGTGCGAGTAGGGGGAAAACTTTCGAAACTTAATGGAAGTAGCATCGTTTTAGCTATATTGTTACAACCACAGTGCAAAACAGTATGCTCTGAGTTAAATATACTTTAAAAAGCCTTCAGCTTTCTGAATGTGCAAACTTTCTGAATATCGGGGGCTTAAAGAACAGCAAGGGAAGCTCTTCCACCAGCCAACAAGCTAACGTAGTTCCTTACTCTGTACCCCTGAGGCCTGAGGTGTAACGAAGAAAGAGCATCTGGCTTTCTAAGGCCAGTCCTGCTTTGAAAAGGCTCAATCCTCTAACCTTGGGGATGTGAAGGACAGCGAAGATGCTGTCTTGGCTGGTCAGTTGTAAAAAAAAAAGCTGCTTTAGAAATACCAGTATTAGCCAGTTTTCGTTCACTGGCTACATTATATATTTCAAATGCACAAGCAGTATTGATGTTGGCACAGAGACCAAGGGCATATTGGTTTCCCAATAGCAGATTTCCATTTTATGTAGCTAGTGATCTGCTCTGTGGAATCAGAAGGGGAAAAAATAGATACCTGAATGCAGGTGGATACATGCGCAATGTCTCTGCAATCACCATGTCCAGATAAGGGAGTTCTTGTACATTTTGATAGTCAGGGACAATCTGAAAAAGCAGGAAGAAAGAAATGGTTACATTTTCTCACATTTAAGTGCCAAATTCTTCTCAGATTAGCTTTTAAATCATCTATTTTTTACTGGGGAAATTTTTCTGTAGAAGAACTCGATGTCTCATCTAAAACAGTAAACGATAAAATTATACAAAAATGTGGGCAGTAATTAAATATGTGAACAACATTCCTTTCATCATCAAAACACTTTGGTGTGCAGCCCAGCTGAAGATATAATAATAAATCAACTTGCTAGAAACTATTAAAAACAGGCCATTAAAAAGAGCATTAACAGCTACAACAGCAATATTATATTATCTTTGCACTGAAATCTGCCCAGAACCTCTTGACCCTTGACCCTCTTGAAGATAGGAGCACAGCAAACCAGGGGCACTTTATTCCCAAGAAATAAGTCTTTCAATTATTTTTGTTGATGCTGAGCAAACTCTTTGCCCTTTCCCAGATACAGAAATGAAGTGACGGGGAAGTGCTGGCTCAGTCAGCTCTGCGGAGGGAGGGAGGGTGACAGAGCTGGACGAGAGCAGTAGTGGACCAGGGATAGCCCTTGGCAGCGGATTGCTCCCTGCCGAGGTAGAGGTAGTCGGGGGACGGCTGAAATAACCCCACAAGACTGCAAGGGGGGGCAGAGAGAGAAGCCTCTCTCTTTCCGTGACCATCCCGTGAGTCCCGCTGGTTAGTTTTGCCTTTTGCCTGGCGGACAAAGCCTGAGCCCACACGTACCATTCGTGGCCCTTGACAATTAGAAGTGGGCACCAAAACCCCAATGTGACTGCAGCTGAGAAGGGTTTGGCCTCCGACAGGCGGCAAAGGGACAGCAAGGGAGACCAAGCAGCAAGGGAGACCACGGGGACAAGCAGCAGCGGGGACGCACAACTCAGCACACATGCCCAGAGCTTTCCTCCCACTGTTATCGTCCTCGGAAAACGGACATTTTCCCCGGCGTTATTCAGTGCTCTCAGCAGAGGGCAGCCTAAGTACATCTAATAACTTCCCCAGGAAAGCGGAGTTTGTTTTAAATTAGAACATCTCTTAAAGACTGACACGGAGTAAATTGGAGAAAAGCACAGACGTCAGACTAGACGCAACCTTTTATGAAGATTTGGGGCCCCTGCCATTCACAAAGGGGACTGGATCCCATCCCTCCTTTATTTACTACAGCACTTTTCATGTATAATGCATATTTTATTGAATTTTCATGCAAAAACATATGGTACATACTGAAAATACTAAGCAGAGAACAACTCCAGATGGCATGCAGAAAAGGCATACAATAGAGCGAGGATACCTTGCTGGATTAGAGTATCCCACTTATTCAGAACTAAGCCACCATGCACCATTTCACATTAACTGATCTTTTCTAGGAAGGAAATAGATACGTTCTGTTATCCCCATTTTTTGGCTCAGGAGAGAAAAGCAAAAACAGAGAAAGTAGTTTGCACATGCTGAGCAGAACCAGAGTGCCTGCTCCTCTCTTAGAGGAAAAGATAAAACTCAGCTTGTCAATACACAAAGTGTTTCGTCAGTATATGTTGCATATTATCAATAGAGGAAGTATAGAAGACTAGGCTGCCAGCCTCTGAATGTTTTTTTTTTTTTAAATTGCAGCAGCGCCTGCCTACCAGCTCAAGCCTTTGGCTTAGGTCAGTGGTTTTCAAACAAAGGACTCAAGAGACTAAAAATGCAAATGGCAGCAGTGTCAGGAGAACCATGGCTGAAGGCTAGGAGCTGTGCTCCAACAACCTAAACAGATAACACCAAAGACAGAAGGAAACAACTTTTATCGTCCTTGTTTTTCAGAAAGGGACTCAAGGTTCAGAGGCTGCCCACCATACCCAGCCTTGCATGGGAAATCAGTAGCAGAGGCTGGAAAAGAACCACGACCAGGCTCAAACTGCAGGCCTTCAACACAAAACTACCTTTCTCTGGGACTGCACAGGCGCTCCATGCTTTAATGCAAGCTCATGCTGTGACATGCATTAAATTTTTTTCTGCTAATTTTGCATCTCTCTCTCAGAACTTTCCCCTGTGCTTTTTACACTGCTCTCCTGCATTTCTTTAAACCACGGGTCACCACCTCAGTCCCGTTCCTGCACTCCTTGCTGGCTCCCGGGATGGGCTGGCAAGGGAGAAGTCAGGCTCAGAGTGAATGAGTGGTGCAGTCGAGATTACGCCATGATGTGTTTGATTCCCTGAGCCACGCTCACTCCACTGGGCCTTCCTGTCTCTCTCATAATCCTCTACTTACTTCTGGAGTCAATAATTAAGATAATTATATGGTAACCTGATATAATAAGTAGCCACTAAATCAAACCCTACATCAACAAATAATTTAACACTAAATTATGGGAGCTTTGATTTGCTCTTTCAAATAGCTTTTATACCTTCAGGGGATTAGCAGTTTAGAAAATAAAACAAAGGTGCAAAACCAGCTGATTTTCCTTGGAAGAAAATTCCTTTTGCTTACATAAAGAAAAAGGGGTCAGCTGAATGGCAGCACGGTGAACTCTGCTATCGTGGGCATGGCAGACACATCAGTCATTTCCTACATCTGATGCAACTTAATTATTGACACTTCCACGCTTTTAACATCAAAGTGGCTGGACCTAATTTAGTAGTTGTTTGCAAGGTCTGACCCAGGGCTGCGTAAAGTACACACCAGCCAAGTATCCCTGTTTAGGAAAGACAGTTTGCTGCTTCTTTTTTTTCTTTTCAAAGAAAACATTTTCCATTTGTTTTTCCACTCCCTCTCTTCAAAATATTCCTTTAGCCAAGCACATTTCAAAGGAGCTCAAATACGCTTGTCTCCTCAAATATCCCTATTTATATCTTTGAAATTTTGGCTGGGATGGGGGGTGTTGTTGTGCAAAGACAGCACTTTAAGCCCCTGCAAAAAACATTTGCACATTGGCTCTTACTCAAGGTTGGGTGTATTTTCATTTAGAAACAGATTCCTTTCTGTAACAGGTAGATGCATGGGGGAAGACAGGAGGCACCACACTGTACATAATAAAACATACTATATTTTAATTTTGCAACCACTGCTTTGCACAGCAGTTTCTCTTATACTTCCTACAGCTTTTAATATCTTGTTCTTGTTGATTTGGAAGTGAAATGGCCATGTCACACCTTGAGGCATTTCTCCGCGTGCATATTTGCCCAGCTGGCTTTCCAGAGGTATGGTGGCACACGTCTCGCCTGCTCAGACCATGCAACCACATGCCGGGGCACAGAAACTGTCTGGTCTGCTAGATACATACAAAGACGCTACCCTGCTGGGTCAGGAAACGGCCTAAACCCCTACCGTGACCTGGGTTCACTCCAGCTTGGCCACAAACTTTTCTCGATGACTATCACTAAATCCCATGCCTCAATTCCCTAGAAAAAGGGGGGAAATTAAACCTTCACCCCACAGAGTGCCCTGACGTGAAACACCAGCAGTGAGTGTAACAGTGCCTACATGCTACAAAGATGAGGCACATTTTAATTCTCCTGTAAAATCCACGAGAGAGAACAGCGTGTTTTGGGAACCAAAGTCCCAAGAGCCCTTTCTCGCAAGCCACCTGTGCTGGGAGCCCCATCGCCCGCTGCACGTCCTCAGCGGGGTCTGGGCACGCAGAGCAGTCTGCGGGCTAGAGATCTGCAGTGCAGTCAGGAACGGCCTTCAGATCAACCCCAACTTTTCAGGATTGGCATTAGTTTTCTCTAGGCAGGCAAACCTATTTTTTGCCACCCTCCTCAGTTAACTTCTAATTCCTCAATGAACACTCAGGGAATCCAAGTGCCAACAGGGGAGGTCTGGCCAATCTTTCTGCTGGAGTTTGAGATGTTACTGTTCCCAGGTGCTCACTCCTCTTTGCTGGCGGTGGTTAGCGTCTCCGCAGCCAAGTCAGTAGAAGGGAACATATGCCTGCACCTCAGTCGCTTCCATACAGCGTCCAGCACGAGCCCACCTTCAGCAGCAGTTTAAGATAAGGCACAAACTTTTCTCTGAAGTAACTGTTGAGTGCAGCACAGACCCTCTCCTACCACCTCTGTTTTGGGAACACTAGTCCAAGTACACATCAGTGAATAAAAGATTTCCACTTATCCTATTGGTCATGGTCTGGTGGTGCTCAGCAGCCAGGAATGAAAAAAATCAGAGCGAATTTTATGTAACTGTCAGAGTGCGACACGCACCTGAAATCGATTTGGAAGCAGGGGGGGCTGCAGAGGCCACATTCCTCCTAACTAACGCTGCTGAGTCATGGGCTGGGACTGCACTGGCTGTGCTTTCCGAGAAGTTGCAATCCAAATCCAGTGCCTCATAGGCAGGCGTGACTGTGACAAAGTCCATGTCAGAGAGATGAGGACCAGCTGAAGCACAGATGTAGATCCCTGAGTAACCTGTGCAGGCATAGCTGCACAGCCCAGATCAGCTCTCCCCCAAATGTAGACTCAGGATAGCAACAGGATAGAAGGAGGTGAGAAAACAACAAGCCAACATTATCCCTGGTGACTGCTCTTAAGCCCCCTAAATTGCCAAAAGAGCTCCTCTGTCCACTAAAGCCAGCATCCACAAATAGGTCAGCAATGTTTCTTGATCAAATGGATCAAAAGCTGCTGATAGATCAAAGAATCTGCCTGGGCCTTTGACCTGCCCTTGGTCACTGCTAGGAGCTGCTAGTCCCCTCACCAAACTACAGCCTATGTGCCACGCTCAGCCTGAGAGGGAGGGAAGAAATACAAGAACACTATGTCGAGTTGCCATATGACAACTTTTCTAACAACCATATCGAGAAAAGAAAGGGTAAAGACAGGACGACACTCAAGAGGTAGATTAATGAAAAAAGGGCTGGGGAGGTTCAACAGAAACCTATCTGTAACTTGCTTAAGGAAAGATCACCTCAAATTTTACCACTCCCACAATAGCATGCTTGAATATCTGCAAAGCACCAAACCAAAACCTCCCTACAAGGTCAAGCAGCGATATAGGGAC